GGCCCCTTCCTAGTAGTAAGTTTAACCAGGTTGCAATCCGCCTCCTGGCCACAACCTGCTTCTTCCCCCAGCTCCCCGCTCTCTGCTCTCCTTTCTGGGTTTTTAGCTGTTAGTGGGATACTCCTTGATTAGCTAACTACATGTGGCTGGGCTTCTACAACAGGGATGGCTGTCCCCTCTCTAAGGGCCAGACCACCTTGTTACGGTGCTCAAGATATTTCTAGGTGGGGGGAGATAGGCGCATCAGAATACATAAGAAGAACCAAACATTTGGTGTCCACTATGAAGCCAAGGACTTGGTTCTTTCTCTTTTCTGTTCCCCACCATCCTACAAGTAAATCCCATTAAAATAAATAGGAAAGTACTATTATACTTTCATGTTGGAGAATGTAGCTGAAGGGAAGCTGTAGCCTGCCCTCTTCTGGAAGTTCCAGCTTACATCCTGAAAAGGAAACAGGAATCCAGTCCAAACAATGAACACGAACTGCAGCCTTACTTGGGCCTCATTCTAATGCATCCCTGTTTTCCTTTGCCTATGCATAGGTTATCCAGTTACTGTGGTTTGCCTGTGTCTGACCCAGCAGCCATACTAATCCAGCACTACTAGAAGTACCATTCTACAGTATAATGCTCCTCTTAGACGGGGCAATTTGTTCACTTTCTACAGGAGATCTTATAGGTCAGGGTCCTGTAATAGAAGTAACAAAGCCCACACTGTTTTCAGTCTCTTAGCCTATGTCCCAAACCAACACCCTATCAGCTGGATTTTTTATACAAGCCACTTTATTCTGTGCTTTCCTCAGACTGAAAGCAGAGGCAAACTGTTTCCCTGAACAGCCCTAAACTGCTTATATACATGATCTGATCAGTCTCCCCCCGATGAGCCTTCTGATCAAGCAGGCTGAGTAATCTCTTCAAGAAGATGGTACATCATCTACCTGGGAAGTTCTTTGGTGGGAATCAACCTTTACCTTGGGGATACTAAGTATGAGGTTTGCCCACCCATCACTGTCTACATACTGCTAATACTCTCTGCCACATCCAATGTATTTCTGTATGCTGCATTCAGTTTTAGAAACCCAACAACAATTATTTTTCAAGTAAGGAGAAGGTGAGATCACTCTTGAGAGGCAAATTAAATGATTGCAGCCGGCTAAGAAATTGCTTTACCATCTGAATAATAAAATGGCCAGAATGCAGAGTTAGGGAAAAAAGGATGAAATTATGGAGCACTGAGCTTAAATTGTTAATTGGTCAGTAAACAACTATTGGATGGGTTATTGATAGATACCTTTCTCCTATAAGCAGAATGTTTAGACTTATTGATTAAAAATTAGACTTCCACAGCATTTATTCGGCAGAATGCAAATAATTTTAAATACAAAGAACTGCGATGTGCATACTCAGAAGTCTAGCTGAAGTTGCAAGCCATAAATCATTATATGTTAATAAAATATATAATGAACTCCTTACATTATTAATACATCACTAGAGTTGCCTTTGAGTTATATGATTTTTTTTTTGTTTCAACAGACTCATGCTTGGGTCTGGCCAGTACCATATAGAGACAATGGCATATGGGGCGCATACAGTACCTATCAGTGTTGGTTTATTTATAAGCATATTGCCCTGTATATCAATGCAAATTCTCGTTATCAAAAGTTGAACTGCCAACAAATCAAAACACTTCAAATGTAATCTCTTCCTCAGTTTGGTTTCTGAGGCTCTAAAGCCCAGTAAAGCTCATTTCCTATAGTTTTCATGGATTTCCATAGATTTACTGCTATAGGTACAATAAAACTGTCAGGTGATAAAAGCAGTGGCACAGGGAAAAATCATAACTGTTTCTTGAAAGCCTCATAAAATTATATTCTGTGAGGGGCACTAAACCACTCAGATGATTCTAATTTAGCATAAAACCATTTGCTTTCTAGTGAAGTGGGACTTTACTCATTGGTCAGCATAGCAATAAACAGAAGGAGCTGCGCATCTGAAGAAGAGTACAGCTGGGCTGGGAGTGGAACAGCTTTTCTGAAGCTAGAAAACATGCAGAATACACAGTCCTGGGAGGGGAATTAATTTAGGTCATTTACTGCTAATTTATTAGACTTCATTATTTATCACAAGGAGTACACTTTGCAGTTCTCCTTCCTCCTGTAAAAATCATACTCGATAATATGCCAGAAAGAAAACCTCAGATGAAGGCCCAAAAGCAAGGAACAAAACCTGACATCTAAAAACAAGTATTCTGATAATGAACAATGTATTTTAAATCCAGCTGCTTTCCAAAAAAAATTGTTTTCTCCTTTAAATTTTCTTCCTGGTGAACCTGAGAAATATGAAAGGAGGCAGCACTGGAGGTTGGGACTGCATTGGTGCAAAGCCTGTGCAAAGTTCACCAATCCCCCAAAAAGGAGCTCCCACTGAGGGTCTCTTCAGTTGTAATCAACACCAGGAGAAAGACCTTAGGGTATTAGTTGATCATCATAGGATGACTCTGAGCTACCAATGTTTGTGGCTGGAACCAGTGGCATAACTAGGGAGGGATAAACAGTGCATCCACCCCAGCATTGACTATTGGGTTTGGGCGGTGGGGGGGAGAGGCTGCTGCTGACAGCCACACAATCATGATTGTAGTGGCAACTGGAAGTCTCTGCTGCCTCTTTCCCCATGGTGCTTGGCTGCATTTCTATGCTGCTGGCTGGGAACAATCAAATGTGATCCTAGGGTGCATCAAGCCACACACTTCTAGTAGCAATAGGGCGATGTATTAAAGACATTGTACAAGGTACTGGTGGGAACTCATCTGGAATATTGTGTACAACTCTGGTCACCCATTGTCAAGTAACATAAATTCAAATGGGCACAGGTGCAAAGAAAGGATATTAAGGGGATCAGGAGAACGGAGGCACCATTTCTCTAGAGAGGTTAGAGGCTTTCTGTCTGGGCCTACCAAAAAGAAAGCTGTTAGGGGATATACTTGCATGCTATAAATGTATCAGGAGGTAAACACCAGGGAAGGAAAAGAGCAGTGTAGTACAAGAACAAATTATTATAAACTGCCAGTGAATAAATTTAGGTTGGAAATTAGAAGAAATTGTTTCAGATCAGTGAGGTTCTTAAACAGCCTTCCAATAGGAACAGAGGGGGCAAAAACCCATAACTAGTCTTCAGATAAAGCTTGATTATTTCATGAAAGGAATCACATGATGTGGTGATTTGTGATAGCAGAGTATTAGACCTCATGACCCAGGATATTCTTTTCAGTTCTATATTACCACAGTTTATTTTACTATTCCTATGATTATTTTTTCTATTACAATAGCAGTTTTAAGAAGAGGAAATAAGGCTGTACAGCACATGTGAAAAAAGAGTATCTTCCCCATGGAACTTATGAGAGTGAATCAATCTGGTTGACTGTTCAGCCCTCCCAGTCTCTGCTGGGTATATTACACAAATGGAGAAAAACTGGAACCATCTATCTATCTCTCTGTACTTTATGTTTAAGGTAAGACAAAACCAAGACACAGAGCATATTGGGATTGCTTATACACCTCTTGTTACATTCATGAAAGATACTGGTAAGTGGGGACCCAGATTGGAAACTCTCCTGATGTAGGAATCTGACTTTGCTAAAACAAAATCTCAGTGATGACATATTGCAAAAACGAATTATTCTTTTCATGTGGCCACTTGCCTACAGGTTACAAGATTGACTTCACTAAACACATCTATCTTATCGTAAGTAACAAATTGTAGAAGTTACTTGATGGATATCACTAACAATTTTCACTATAAATAAAACAGCGGTGATAACAATTAATTACAAATTTCAGCTAGCAACAAATTCTATTACTATTGATTTGAATTGGTAACGTTAAAGGGACACAATATCCCATTATGAATCATGTGGATAAGTATATTTTGGATACTGTATGAATCTGTACTCAATATCTGTAAAATCCCTGTAGAGTAATAGGAGCACAACAATAAGCAAATGAGAACTTTTGTTATTAGACCGAGCTGGAGACAGCATATGGGCATCTCTTCTCCTTACTCAGACCTATTCAGAGACTATTAGGTTCATAAACTGAGTTAGGATTGGTTGCCCACCCTTAAAGAATTTTGTTTTCCTCCACGACTTTCTGGGCCACCATCTTTCTCATGAAGTCACCTCCCTCTTATGAATAAATCATAGCTACATACAAAGCAATTGCCTCTGAGCATCTAATGCAGAGGCGGGAAATTATTTTGGGCAGAGGGCCACTTACTGAGTTTTGGCAAGCCATCGAGGGCCGCATGACAGGCAGCCCAGGGCAGATAAAAATTTTGGAAAATTAATATTTAGGGGCCCTGCGGGCCGGATAGAATGGCCTGGCAGGCTACATCCAGCCCCCGGGCTGCATTTTGCCTACCCCTGATCTAATGCCACTTCTCAGATGGTAAATAATGCAATATAATCTCTTGAAACTGAAAACCAGAGGTGTGCCTGAACAGTATTAGATATATCAATGGGCTTGACAGGGGGGGGCTTGACTTCAAGAAAAATCATTTGCACAGTTGCTATGCTAATGGCCAAGATATTAGCACAGATACCAAAAGGACATTTTTGGAGCTATAAATAGATAATTAAGAGGCAATATGAAAAAAAACCAACCCTCAGTATTTAAAATGGTTTCAGACATCATATGAAACAAAACAATTGTATCACCTTTGGGATCATTTATAATTTCATAAATTCATTTTTTTTTAGTTCACTAGTTTGGATCTGGTCAAGTTTCAGGGTAAAAAATTACTCAATGTCTTTTTACTGTGGGTGAAGTTAGTGTGGAGGGGAACATTTTACTTTAATAAATTACAAAGTGTGCAGAGAGTTCCTCACTTGACTGCAAATAGATCCATCCAAACCTGGACCCCTATTGTTTTCACCAGGCCAGTTCATTACTCTGCATTGACAGTACTTCAGCCATCATTCAAACATATAGTTCAACACAATTTACCTTGTAGTGAAAGAGGAATAATCCACAGAACAGGCTGTAGAGGTCAGCTGTGAGCAGGGAGAGATTGACTGCAGTAGCACTGGTTTTCTTTATGACCACTGGCATGAAACTGTAGAGGCCAAACATACAGGCACTAAACCCAACATACAGCAAACCTGGGGGAGGAGAAGCAAAAACAAATGATCTTCCACAGTACATGTAAAAGACACATATTGTCTGAAGGTATGTTGTAATAAAGAAGGTGGCCATGCTTTTAAACAGGCATTAAGATACTTCATTTTCAAAGAAATTTTATTTAAACAATTAAGATATGTATATTTGTATGCAGGCTTGGAACATTAATATTAACAGATACCATGCCAGCAGAAAGGTAAAGTCCTCTTAATAATCACACATTTGCTGTCTGTCATATATCATTATATTTCATTGAAGTGGGTGTCACTGCCTCAATCTAAACCTACTGAGAACATCACTCATAAAATGTAGCATGATAAACGTGTGTTAAAAACTGTGTACGACTAATTGCTATGCAGTTAGCTGGTGTAGTCTAACCAGCATAAATGATGGAACGCAGCATATTGCAGATTTTCATGTCTTCATTCATTAAGTTTGATGATACAATCAGTAGAGCTCAGTGTTGAATTCATAATGAATAATTTATTAAATAAAATTCACCTGTTGTTTGTTTATGACTTATCTGTGAACTGATTGTGATTTACTCAAATATTTGTTATTCAAAACTACAGAAGAATAAATTTTGAAGTCATTGTGAATATTCCATATAAGAAATTCAACCAGTTTTGATTGGGCACTTCGGTTACATTGAATATCCTGATTGGATGAATGCAATTCTTTAATACAATTTTGCTTGTGTGCGCTTGAAGTGGAAAATTCAGAATGTGTTTTCTGTAAGTATTTTGGAGTATTCACTTAAAATTCATGATTCTATGGAGTGCAGAACAGCTGCCCTATATGGCTAGGTACAGACATCCAAAAAGCCCGGGGGGGAATCCATCTAAGTAGCAGTAGCAAACAGCATACGTTCTCCCTTTGGTGGGCAAGAAATGGGGGGAGGAGGGAGGGAATCTTGGACTGGGTTCTGCCATTTTTAAACCAGTCTGTGGTACAGATATAGACTGGTTTTGTGTGCTGAACTTCTGTTATGTACAGACCAGCTTCCAATCACTTATACCTACTAGGGACCCACTCAAGTCAGTTTTGAGATTTTTGCTGAAACCGCAAAGAACAGTGGTTTCTGTGATTTTGCATGGAATTGCTAGGAAAAAACAAATCTTACTAAAAATAAAATGCAGGCCACCAGTGGGGGGAAGCCACCAGCATGAAGGGGAGTGGCAAACATGGTGGCTGCTTCTGCTTCTGTCTGAGAGGGCTGTCTTTTCTGCAACCCCACCCCTCTCCGCCAATCAGTGCAAGGTACAGGGCCTCATGAAGGGCAACCCTCTCTGCCAATTGGTGTTGAGGGGTGGGGCCACATGAAAAGCAGCCCTCTTGGCCAATCAGTGGCAAGGGGAGGAGGCTGCCAGGGCCCTTTGGTCAATCAGCAGCAGGGCTGGGAAAAGACTGTGAAAATGGCACGGGGTGTCACAAGTGGCTCGTGATTTTTCCTTTGTCTTGGCACACTTTGAGAAGATCCCTACTTATACCAGTAAAAGTCTTTACCGCTAATGTTTTTACCTAGCCTTTGAACCTAGAAGGCATGTGAATACAGGGCACAGCAATTTGTGCAAGAATTCATATATACATCTGGGGTTTTTCTGTTTTTTTTGCAGCATTCCCTCAGGTCTGAGATACAAATTGCATGCCTCTTCATTCCTTTGTTTGTTATATGTGACAAAATTATCACCAACTGTTGACACAACTCTAATTACCAGTCATGGCACCTCTATATCCTTTCCTGTTATCCTATTCAGGGGTTAGTTGAGTATGGTTTCAGTCTCTCAGAATATATTTTAATGCAGCAACATCACCATCTCTGTTTTTTTGTGTACAAGTTTGCATAGAGATTCGGACATTTCGTCGTGATACTTGCATCCCACTGAAGCAAGTTGTCATCAAAACTCTATTATATTCAGAAGTGGTAGGTGTTTGGTGTCATTTTTAAATGAAAGAATATTTTCTTTCCCTTCCTCCACTTAGAAAAAAATCACTTTCTAGAAGTCTGTTCTGTGCGGTTCCTTTGCCTCTTGGCTTCACTTCTTTTTTAGAAAACTATGTAATTATTTTATTTAGGACACACTGTTAAGTGCTGTTTTCTGGGAAACGTCATGCTGCTTGCACTCCACTAGGAGATGAAGGCCTCACCATCTTGCAGAGTTAGAATCAGGCCATGATATCTTTCTTTTGAGGCTCATGTACCACACTCATCCCTCTTGTACAAGTATGCCTATCTAAGCACTTAACTGGGAAATGTAATTAAGCAAAGCATCTTCCAATGAACTACTATAAGACCAATAACACTTAATGGTAATGGCTACCATTACTTAATGGGGGCAATTTCAAGTGACTTGGAAGTGAAAAGACTTTAGCAGTATATAAGGTTCCTAGTTTTGCTGCACTGAGTCTAATCAAAGTCTGGAAGTGTTGATCTCCTTCCCTCCCCTCAGTTCCAAGCTGTCTCTATTTGCTTGCTCAGCAGTTTTCAGGAAGGGTTTGGATTTCTCTGTCATTCCTGACTTCTGCTTTGCTCTTCCGGTGGCACCTAGACATGCTGAGCAACTCTGCTGGGTATTTTGCCGAGATCCCGGTATCTGAGCAGACAGCAGGCTCAAAACCTGCAGCAGTGGGGAAATACTGTGTCCTCTCAAACTCTTTGAACCTGTTCAGTAACATTAAAGACACATGAGTTGTTTTTAAGAGAGAGTGCTTTGTTATTCACAAATTCCACATAATGGGGACTGACATTTTTTTAAGGCTTCTGTCAAACTAGCATGTCTTAGGTGCTGAACCTCTTCAAGTACTACTGAATTCAGCAAAACCAAGGACTCTCAGCACTTAGGAAAAACAATAAGATAGATTCTACATTTATAGAGGCAGTATTATCTGCTAGATACAGCTATAGGCTGAAAATCATGCTAGGTACCACTCCTGACTGCCACTGACCTTGCTAAGCCACTTCACATCTCTGTTCCCCTCCCACTCTTAGTTTATCTTGTCTATGTAGTTTGAAAGCTTTTAAGGACAAGGACTATGGGCTTGTATAGTGCCAGTCATGGTGGGACTTCCCGGCACTAACATAACAAATATCGATATAGTCTATTAAAAAAATAATTTCACTTAAAAACAAGAATCTGAAGCCCAACCAGGGAAGAATTCACTGGAGCAAGTATTGCTTGGTGAATTTTAGAGTAAATGAATCAATATGCAGTTCATGGAAAAATCAAACACTCCACTCATCTGCATTCATACAAAAGATAAATCCTGTGCTGCCATCCTTGTAGAATTCCCAGATGATTTGTGCGTGAACCTAAATTTAGACTCATGCTAGCTATTCAGGAGATGTTGTTATCGACTAAAAACTGCACAGAACCCGCTTCTCTCAATTCTCTACA